GAAAAATAATTATGAAAAACAATGGAGGGGGGGGGGGGGGGGATGTGACATATTTAATCAAAAAGAATAAAATGTTCTAGGTATATGACTTCAATTTTCATTTCCGTTAAGGTCTCATGTGTATAACCTTCACCAGTTATTGTTTCTAATCCATCCTCATGATTACTGGTACATAATCAGTTCTTATAACTCCCAGTAAAAATCAGCGGATTACCAAGAGGCTTCATATAGTCACAATACAGAGGATGATGTGATGAAAATTGGAATTACTAGGTGGATGAATTTTACATGTTGCCGTGTAGTAAGGTTTAATATAATATATGTAAGGATATAATTGAGCATTTACAAAAAGCTGAACTGCATGCAAACTAGGTAAATGCACAGATTAAATACATTTAAGGGGGCTGTTTTACCTGCCAAAGGATTTGCATTTCTGTCTATCCAGTTGGGAGATTTACACACTTTTGCCATACAGTACAGTTCAGTCTGGGCATGCAGGAGACCTGATTTTTCTCTGCTGCAGTTAAGTAACACGTACAGGTCTTGTCGCTCTCCCAGAGAAGCACAGGATTGATGAGGTCATTACTGTGTCACTCTGCTCTCTCCTCATATTAGCATGCCCCGTGCACTGCAGCAGACCTGAGCAGTGGTGTAATAAACCCAGTTGGCCGCTATGGGTCCCGGGGCACAGCTGGGCCCGGCCAGGAGATCCCCCTGATGCCGTGCGGGCCGCCTGGGTCGCTATGGCATCTCAGGCTGCTGGCTGTCACTGGCGGGTGTGAGGAGTAAAGTGACGCTATTAGATCAACGACAACCTGTCAGTGATGTGTGCAGCGCCGCGTTCCTCCTCACAGCCGCTGCTGAGTCAGTGACAGCCAGTAGCGGACAGCGGAGGTGGACAGGGGATCGGGGCTGACAGGTAAGAGGTGTGTATAGCCCACCTGAGACCCTGCAGAGCCCACCTTAGAGTGGGCGGGAAGCAGGGAAAGAGACCAGCGGACATCGGTTTGCTGATTTTCTCCCCGCTGAATTGGGCCAGAAGTGACGCTGATTGCATCACTTGCGGTTCCTCGGCTGTCATGCCCCGGTGGCAGAGACCAGGGAAGAAGCTATTGGAGCGTGATCTGCACTTGAATAGCTTCTTTGGAGTAGAAAGGTCACACTAGGGGTCTAACTGACCCCTAATGTTACCTTAAAGAGAACCTGTCACCACTATTGCTATCACATAGGGGCTTGTGAGCCCCCTATGTGATAGCAATTAAGTTAGGTATAAAAAAAGTGTAAAAAAAATTAAATTAAAATAAATGTAAACATTTTTAAAAAATGAAAGTCCCACGCCCTCAAGCGTGCATATTACCATAAACACGCATCGGATGCATCGGATGCGAGTGAAAGCAATAATTCTAGGGCCAATATTCATGTATATCTCTAAACTGATGGTCTGGACAATTTGGGGTACCGTATTTTGTCGCCGTTTCACAGACGCACGCAATTTTTAATCTGGGCATGTTAGGTAACTATTTACTCGTTGTAACCTCATGTTTATATTTTACAAAAAATCAACATTTAAAAAACAAAATGGGTATTATATTTTGTTTTTGGGCACTAAAATTAACAAGTGTATTTTTTTACAAAAATGTTGGGTTTGATAAAGAGTTGTGCTAATATCGCGCAACGTAAAAATTTACCTACTGCTACCATATTAATCTACATGCTTTCAGAATTTGCTTTCAGAATATAAAATGTTTTGGGGGTTTTAAGCAACTTTCAGGTCTAAAATGTGGATTATAACGTGTGCAAAAAACGCCTTTGCAGGGAAAGTGTTAAAGGGAGCTTTTCTTAAAAAAAGTGAAAGCTGTAATTGCTAAAGTGCGTCAGCAGGACACGATCAGGACGCATGGGTAATTCTGTCCAATGAGGACACTGGTTTATGAAACAACTGTCTAAAGCTGGTCATTTACTCTATAGTCTATAATCTGATTGTACGATCTCGGTACAATCTCTTTTATATTTACCAAAACTATGGACTGACCTAAACAATCGATTCAGTTAGTATCAAAATCAGACAGGCCCCTGCACTGCCAAGTTGATGTTAGATGTAAGGGAGATTGTACAATCAGCTTGTATAGTGTATGATTGGCTTAAGATGGGTAATTCCCTTCACTGTGTAGAGATTTCCTCTCACTTCCTGTAGCCTCTCCAGGACTGAAACTGAAGGGAAATCTACCCTATAGCATACGAACAAATAACAAACTAAAAAAAAAGCTGACCATTTCCTACGCCATCCAAAATAAAAAAAGGTCTGCCTATACATACTCTTGAATACATTCCAAATGACTATCATGGAACAAGTATGCTGTTCAGGAAAAGTCAGAGAGAAGTCAGAACTCCTGGTCCATATACTTGTTCAGGCTCACTGACTCACAACAGTTTTGAAGATATTAAAGAAGAACAAAGGGCAAAAGCAAAAATGACATTTCTGATGCAGTCTGTCCAGGTAAAGTAGCAGTTCTAGGGTTGGGACAAACCATATAACACTGGTGGGGGTGCTTACAATGGTCAGCTTTGTGCATATTGCTTAAACCTTTATCTCAAAAGAGAAAAAAAAACATGTTACTGCCGAAGAAGCGTTAGCTGAAATTCAGCTGTAAATTGTTCGCCTTTTAGTTAAAGTACATACAAAACTACATGTCCAACTAAAACTAGCCTGTCCACAGGATGCCAACGCAGATGTGCAATTTCACTACAGATTGCACAGTGTTGTCACCCTATTACAGGAAGTTGAAAAATAATGAATCTAGTGGCAGGACTAACGTTATAATGCTATTTTACCGGTTGGACTCAGAAAAACAAAAAATGCTGGGTTAATGCTACTGACAGACTGCATCATATATGTCATTTTTGCCTATAGTTCCATGACAGCCAGAGAGGTAACATTTTCAAAGATGGAGGTTAGCAGTAAAAGCTTACATATTTATCTCAGTGCACGTTTCCTATTACACTCTCCAGCAACAAAAAGTGTAAGGGTCAGGAGTGTTTGTTATTGCTCACAGAGATTTTCCAATGATGGTTCCCGTTCTACAGAGGAGGAAATGCTGTGTGCATTCATGTTTAGCAATGTAAAATATCAAGGCAGTACCAGCAGTAATGACAAATAAAATATTTGCCTTTACATGCCAACATGAAAACATTTTCAAATGCCTTACTGTTGTCCAAGTGGTTGGCCTTGATAATTTTCTCTGAATAATCTGAAACGCTGGAACATTCAATCTGCAGAAAAACCCAAAAGAACAGAAAAAAAGTATCTGTGAAGAGGCACAAAACATGACAGATCTACAAATGTGCAAAATGTTCCATACATTTATGAACTTAAAGTGAATGTCTAATAATAAAAAACAACAACACATATTCAGTAAGTCTTTTCATGTTTTATGATGTAATACCACATTATGGCCAATTGCTAGAGCTGTCTCGGTCTCCCCCTTCGTGTCCGCAGCAGCTCTATTTGGCACTGGGCAGCAGTTCTGTGTGATGAGGGGGCGGGGATTACACCGCTCCCACTCATTGGCTGCTGCCCGGCTGGATGATACTTCACGCTGCGCCCGGAACAAGGTGAGGGGAGCAGCGTGAAGCATGTAGGGCCCAGGACAGGAGGAAGAGGTCCCGGGACTGACATTAGCGGTTACCAGGATAATAAATATCCTGGTAATCAGTTGTCACCAGGGGCCCCTTCCTCCTGTCCTGGGCCCCCTCCAAGTGGCAGAACTCCAGGGCCCGGTCGCGGCCGCGACCTCTGCGACCCTGGTAGTTCCGCCACTGACTCCTGCCAATAGTTTGAGGTAGTGTGTGGCACTGCAGATGTCAAATGCCGGTTCTATAGATTGAGAACTGAGCGGTCACATTTGATTGCTCAACTCGCGGATTCTCCCTGAAGAGAGCAGACTGCCAGCCACTGATCCCCACAGGGATTCCCCCTTCCCCACTCTCTGTTCCTCTAGTGTTTATTGGAAGGACAGACAGGAGGCTGGTACCGATGGCTCTGGCGAGGCAGATATAGCTGTCAATCAGGCAGCAGGGTGGATCCCGACAATATTGTCAGGATCTTTCCCGGTTGCAGCTCTGCGCTGTCAGCATATAGAGGGAAGTAGCCTGCTATATACTGACTTTGGGTCACAGGAGTACATTGGTAAATGTACTCAAAGTACCCAAAAAGTCAAAAAAAGGTTTGGCTATATGGCTTTTTAAAAAGGATGTAACCACCTAAAAAATTACTCCTAATGCGACAAAGATCAGCAAACGGCGGAAAATTAACAGATGCAGTGGCTGCGACTTAATTCATAAATGTTCCCCACAGTGTTTTCAAAGGGACCTGTTCAGACCAATGCTTTGGTCTGAACACTGCATGCTGCATTTCGGTTGCCTTAAACATTCAATAAAAACCTCTGTCCCATGATGTAATAGCAGCTTCTCCTGTTTTCTTCTATGGAATCTGTGCTGTCAGTCATCATGTAATAGAGGGGGCAAGCATAGGCACAATTGGAGGAAATTCATAAACTGGAGCAGACAAGATCTGGAGCAGTTGCCCATAGCAACCAATCGGCTTGTTTCTTTAATTTTCAAAGCTTAACTAAAGACACTGGCTGCCAAGGATGATAGCTCCAGTTTTAATGAATTCCCCCAATATTTCTAGGTCCTTCCTTAGGTAATGGCTGGCCTGTTAGCTGCTTTCTAATTTAAGGGCAAGGAAGTGAATAGTTATCTGCTAATTTATTTATTACAGGTATTTATATAGCGCAGACAATTTATGCAGCACTTTAGTCCCTGCCGTCAAGGAGCTTACAATGTAAGGTCCCTATCTCACGTGCATACATACAGGGCCAATTTAAACATTTAGCCAAATAACATACCAGCATGTCTTTGGAGTGTGATAATAAACTGGAGTACCCGGAGGAAACCCACGCAAGCACAGGGAGTTCATGGAAACTCCTTGCAGATAGTGCCCTAACCGGGATTCGAACCAGGGACAGCCAGTGCTGACCCCCAGACCCCCCTGTTATATCTAGAAATTGCATTGATACCTCATTTTAAAACTAGGATAGGGTTCTCCTTTAAGAAGCAGCGTGTTTCACACTATAAGCTAGGATGTGCACAATAATATTAGCAGCTATTCTCTAGCAAGAAAGCTCTTCTTTTCAATAATGTCAGTTGAGAAAGGAAAGGCTGGTGTTTGTAAGCGTAACAAGCCATCAAAGTGGCAGGAACATCTCTCTGGTAATTGGAAAGGATATACTATGGCTGCAGAGGAAATAGTGAAGCAATCCAACACTACAATGCATCTGAATCCCACAGGTATCGTAACTTGCGGGCTAATTGTAAAAATGTATCTGCTGATATTATTTCCATGTTCACCCTTTGAAAGCCGGGAAACAAATTGTTTTAATTTAAAGGGCAAGGAAACCTACTAACCAAGTATTGTTTTTTTTATAGTGGATGTAAACCTTAACCAAATTACATTTTGGACTGCCAAATCACTGTGTATCAATAGAAAGCTGCCATTAAAATAAATAAATAAATAAATACTTGTTTTCACCTTTTTTTTAATCCTTTAACACAACTCAAGGTGATCTAAAGACTCATCTCTTCAGGGAAGCCTATCCCACCTCAAACTAACCACTCAACCCTCATGTTCTCAAACATTTCATCCCCACACAGCTAACTCCTCATTTATCACTTGCCCCTCCCTTTTAGATTGTAAGCCCTCACGGGCAGGGCGCTCCTTACCATATTGTCTTGAATTGTATTGTGATGTCTTCCTTATACTGTAAAGCTGCGCAAACTGTTGGCGACATATAAATCCTGTATAATAATAATAATCTTCTGCAACCTCTTTGCCGCCATATCCTGTATATATGCACATCAGTGATGGCTGCATGGCATTTGTCCTGGCAAGTTTCCAGTGGAGGCAACAGTGGACCTGTTTAATGCTGCTTGTAAACTCCATCAAAAGTCTGTTTGACATAGTGACAATGCAAGAGCACAACTGAGAGACAATGACAGAGTATTATCACTTTATGACAGGAGGTGCCTACACAAGGACCTTTATGGGGGGATTTTTTTTAATGAACACTGCAAATTAAAAAATAATATATATATATATATCTTTTGAAATTCCATTACGATGTTTAAGCCTATGTGAGATTTTACTGGCCGCATTTACATATACTTTATGTCTGCCATTATATCTTTATTATGGATCAGAGTTTAGGTAAACCTATGTTATGCCTGGACATTGAATGCTGTGCATATGATAACTGGAGCACATCATTATTAAATGTGATGCGCAAAGATAGATACAAAACACATTATTATTATACAGGATTTATATAGCGCCAATAGTTTGCACAGCGCTTTACATTAATATAATGGACAAACTCACTGGCATGTAGTGGGTGGAAACTCAACTTGGAAGGACACTATCTGCATGGAATTTGCATGTTCTCCCTGTGCTTGCATGGGTTTCCTCAGGGAGCTCTGGTTTTCTCCCTCATTCCAAAGACATGCTGGTAAGTAAATTTGCTCTAGTCTAAATTGGTTATAATGTGCATGTGAGATAGGGACCTTATATTGTAAGCTCCTTGAGGGCGGGGACTGATGTAAAGTGCTGCGTAATGTTGACAGCACTATATAAATACTACTAATAATATTAAGAATAATAATGATATGGGATGTCTCAAGCCCAATTTTCACAGGAAAAGTTTAGCTCCTTATATGGTATACATCTGCTCAAATGCTTAAATGCCCCTTTTAGGGCAAGGGGATGCAGTCTCTTGAATGTCTGCGTCAGAATAGCCCGAGAGTTAACCACAACAGGAGTGTTTAGGAGGCTGCTGCAGACATGTGTACCTCTAGGTGACTACAGGTTATACCTGAAGCAGTCTTTTTTTATTTTTTTTAAGATCTCTTAAATAATTATTCTACATTATATCGTTTCGTACACCCAAGAACAGAACTGTAATATATTGCAGTTTGCTGTTCCAGTTCTTAGATGTGGTGGCTGCATTAGTTTTTTCCAGGCTTTATTTCCTTTCTTTTCACTTGGTGATGCTGCAGGGTCACACTCTTCGTGTCCTACTGTGACAATGCTCCCTTGCTGTACTGTATCTACAGAGGAGCAATCACCCTAGACTACTTGCTCCTGAGTGATTTGGTCTGCAGAACTAGGGGAGGTGTTCTGCAGTTCACGTAGGACAACTGAGCAGGGCTGATAACACTGCTTGAGATAAGACTGCAGAGATTACAGAGCACAGGACAGCACTGGATTTCTAGCATGATCAACGGGCATTCATTTGCACTTATCGAGCAGCAGATATAACAAAATGGTGTATTTAACAAACCAAAAGGGAGCAAAACAAGAGAAGTTAATTGTCAGGATTTACATACAGTTAACGAGTATTATAAAGCACATTATGGAAATTATTTTGGTTGTAGATCGCTCACCCCGTATACTTTCTTTGCACCAGCCTTTGCTGCGAACATAGACAGGATTCCAGTACCGCTGCCGACATCCAAGACCACCTTGTCCTTAAACACGTGTTTATTGTGGTACATTGAATTTCTATAAGTAAGGGTGCGCACTTCATCTTTCAACATTTCCTGAAAGTAAAAAAAAAAAAAAATGATGTGATACTACAAACATGCCTAAGGCAATAAAGGACAGAAAGCACATTTCAGAATAAAGCAGATATTGATGCACAGTTACACATGGCTTGTTCCATTCAATCCCTACATTCTCCAACTGCTGCACATACTGCCAAATTAAATAATTACCTGCAAATTCCAAGCACAAAGCTATTCCTAACTGCATGCAGCTTTCTGCTATGGAATCACAGATTTTAAAACAAACTAAAATGATTACAATAAGCCTCATAATCATAAAGAGTAAACAGCCCACTGGCATAGTACAGAGCTTCTTTTAATGTAAAAATGTAAAAAATAAAAATGATAATATTGCACTCACAATGTGACACAAGATATATTGTTTAATTTGATTACTTTAATGTCCCTGTGTTACACTCTAGTTAAGCCTTCCTTAACCAGGGTGCCATGACACCCCAGGCACCGTGTCTTCTGGCTTCCTCAGGGGTGCCTTGACATTTTTACACAGCATCTTGCCTTTTTATGGTGCAGGCAGGCTTCTGTTGTGAAGGGCGAACTCTGATGTGACAGGGGGGACTCTAATATGAAAGGGCGGCTTTGATGTAAAGAGGGGACTCTGATGAGAAAGTGAGCTTCCTGTTGCAAAGGGAGACTTCTGATGTGAAGGGGGACTTCTAATGTAAAGAGGGCTCTTAATGTGAAGTGGGGACTCTGATGTGAAGTGGGGCACCTAGATTGAGAGGGGGATTCTGATGTGAAAGAAGGGGGCTCCTAATGTAGAGAGGGGCTCCTGATGTAAAGGGGAACTCTAATGTGAAAGGGAAGGCAAGCTCTGATGTGAAGGGGGGCTCCTGCTTTTAAGGGGGGACTTTGATGTAAAGGGGAACCCCTTTTTTGTGAGAGTCTAGTATGGATTTTGGAGGGGGCACACTTAATTTATTACATTTTAGGTTATTTATATTTAGACGAGTACCTCAATATTTTGCATGACATCTTTGTGAAGATATTGGAGCTTATGACATGGAGCGTCATTTTTCTGCAAGTCAGCAAATTCCACTGACTTTAATTAAGCAGTACACGACAGTTCAAAGGGGTGTGCTTGACACCACGGCCTAGCAGCAGGCAAAGCAGGTCAAAAGCAAAGCAGCGTTTGCTTGGAACACCTGTTAACCTAAGTCCCTAGGTTAAATATTTTAATTAGCAGGTACTAACTTTCATTGTAGCTATTGCTCTGCAGTTTATAAGTGTTTAATGTACTGATGTATTTCACTTATAATTTACATTCTGTTGTTTAGTACACCAGAGATACATTTAGGGGTACCAGAAAATATTTTTGTAATGGCAGAAAAAGGCTGTGACAGTAGGGAGTCAATGGGAACTAAATTGTGTGTAGAAGGTTTGCAGAGTAATCCTGTGGAAATCTTTTCTGTCACTCATTCTATAGTTCCGCCTGCCAACACCTCATTTAGTCCTCAGCTGAGTGATGTGTCCTCCACTTCTCTTAAGAGTAGATTCTGCCTTCTGCAATTTGGCATTAAGAGGACAGAGATTGTAAGTCCTGAGTCGCACCAGAATCTGCTCAACCTACCTCCCCTTAGAGTCGCACTGTCCATAGCCACCAGAGTGTACCCTTACTCCATCAGCATCCTCTATGGCCTGGGTACCAATCATGGAGAGATGCCTAGCCCTCCAACCCACAGAGCCCCCAAAACCCCAGGGCACACCCCAAAAGTGTCCCCAAAATCACACTGAACACACCACCGCAATATGGCATACCCCAAAGAGCCCTCTACTCCAGCCTCCTAGCTCCCTCCTTTATTCCACTGACACCAACACAGTGGCATTTGAGCCAGTACTACCGTTTGTGCAATTTTGTCACACCTACCATTCAGTACACTACATGCTTCACTGTTAGCTCTGCCCCACCCCCACTATGGGGTTCAATTTATACAAATGGACTGCCAAGGGGTACACATGTAAAAAAAAAACATTGGGAACAACTGCTTTATTACAATGTTACACTAAGAGGGTATTCTCTGTGTGCCTTAGGCATTATACGTCTACCTGTTTTTTTTTTGGGTTATCATTAGTTTTTTTGCTATGTTACCTGTGTCTCTGTTGGAGAGATTTGCTATCAATTCCTGTCACAGCGACCACATTGCAAGTGATCATTCCAGTGGGTAGGGGTTTTGACCCCTCTCTACTTTGTTTTATTACCGTCTGGGTAGATTTTGTCCCTTTAACTCATTTAAAAAAAAATGTTTTATTACCGTCTGGGTAGATTTTGTCCCTTTAACTCATTTATCAGTTTTTTTTTTTCATTTTGCACACACATGCTAAAATGCTCACTTTATACATGAAAACACACTTTAAATACCAAAACATCCTGAGAGCAGAGGGCCAATAAAATCAAATGATGGTAGTTGCAATTTTTGATTATTTTTAGCGCAGCTGTTTAACAAACTTATATTTTCAGTGAAAAAAATACACTTCAATTATTTTAATGCACACAAAAACAATAAAATCTGAGAATTTTCTATAAAATATAAAAGATGAGACTGCCACCAAATCCTGATATTGCCACACCGTAATACAGCCATTACAGTGAAAGTGTTAATGACCACACAAGGACGTGAACAAAAATTTACCTAGTAATGAGTGCAGAAACAGAAAAAAACAAAAACGTTTAACCCTTCACCACTCCATCCATACCAAAAGAGAAAAAAATGCTGCAGTTGGACTTTCAATGTTTCCAAATAGAGTTCTTCCATGTTTTGTGACTAACTAACACTAGATTTCTTCTGGCCAGGATGTAAATAATGTGAGGTAAGTAAGCAGTTAGCTAATCAGATAAAGTTTGACTATAAGGAACTTTTTGTGCGTGATTTCGGTTGTGTACAGTGCAGCTGAAGTGCCTCCCTTATCTTTATTATCTTGTATGTAGTACCATTTTTGGTGTGCGTATGAAATAGGCATCAGATGTAGACAAGACTTTCTTTTATTTACTATATGACTATTTAGTCTATATTTATTCTGAAAACACTCCCAGCCCACCCCCTAGCCTCTTTAACTGTACTCCCCTACCTCAAATTATTTACATCCTGGCCAGTAGAAATCTAGTGTTGTGCTGCCGAAAACCTGCAAACTAAAGTCCCATATACTTAAATGGGCCATACCCATAATGCAGGAGCTTGACTATGGGACAGGAGCAAGTGTATAGGCAGCATGGCACTAGATTTTTACTTCCCAGAATGTAAGGCACACTATTAAGATGCTTGTTGTTCTCCTTACTGGAGAGGAAGCTGCAATGCAAGAATCTCCCTGCTCTGCCACATTCATTCTGTAGATCTGTGCTACTTGATTATTCACACCTCTCCTGCTGCTTCTTGAATATTCCTCTGCCATTCATCAGATCACCAGTCATCAGGGGAAGCTCTTATATGAGGAAACAAAGCCCTGCCACTACCAAAATGGCTGTCTCCACACAGTGCAAAACATGGAATGGAAAGTTAGTAATAGGGAAAAGGGAAAAGATCAGCTGAAGGGAGCCTATAGGCAATACTAGTAACTAGTATTTTGCCATCTACTTCTTGGCCACAGGATCCATGAACCGAAGGGGTCCTGGTGCCGAAGCTAGCCGAAGGATCGGCCGAAGCTACGGCCAGATACTTCGGCAGCTTTGTGAATAGACCCCATAGTTACATAGTACACTTGCTTATACAGATCTCTACTCCAGAGCTAAATGAGGGACATTTGAGGTGGAATGAGGGACAGAGGGATTTGGTTTCAAAAGAGGAACAGTTTGGAGCTATGGACTATTCACTGCCTTTAGTAAGACAAATGTATGTTAATAGCCATCGCCACAAATGCAATTTAACGTTATCTGCATTAATTAGCAAAAATATATAAGGTTCTGGGTGAAAAACCTGGCTAACCCCTCCCATAATGCATTGCTACAAAGCTAGCAATAAAATGTCTAACTGGAAACGGGTTATAAGTTAGGTGCCAAAATGTTGAACGAATTTACCTTCCAGGCTGATATAGAAAATGACTGTTTCGATATTTATGCCAAAAAAACATGTGCTGCGTTTATTAGTAATGTTAGCAGCAAATTGCTTCAGAAAGTGTTTTTGATCGGATGAACAACTGAACTTTCTTTTTTGGCTATTTCCTTTAATAAGGTTTAAATACCGAGGTCTTTAAATAAAAAAGAAAATCAATTTCGTTAAAGGGCATTTCTGTAAGGAGGTATGTGTAGTAACTGCAGTCCTATTGCTTGCCAAGGCTGATGCCTCTGGGAATATCCCACACCCCGGACATAATCCTGGCATAGCACTTGGCTACCGATCAGCTGGCAATTACTTTAAGTCGCAAAGAACATCAGATATGTTATTACTCGGCCTGATTACCTCCAGAATTTGTCATTTTAATATTTTCTGCCTGCTGCAGTGAGCTCTCCTAAATTATATAATAGATGCAATAAAAAGCATGTACCATTTTTATTCCATGTCGACTAGGGTTTCAAATTATCACTAAATCCAGCAATTCAAAGTTTGTGAGGTTCCTCTGCAGCATAGCTCAGTCCCAAAAGGAAAAACTTTTTTGATAATTTTAAATGGCGTTTTTTTCCTTCTAAAATCTGTTCATTTTCATCTCAGTCAGACCTTAGTTCTATTAGTGACCTTCATGCTTGTGTTTGTGGACATATGGCCAAAGTTTGTGGACACCTACTTATTGGGTTCAGGTATTTGCAGTGAAGGCTATTGATAGTGCTACATCATACAAAGTCATTTTAGACAATTGTGCACTTCCAACCTTGTGGTAACAGTTTGGGGAAGGCCCTTTTCTGTTCCAGTAGTACTGTGTCCCTGTACACAAAGCCACCTCCATGAAGACATGGTTTGATGACTTTGGTGTGGACTTAGGAGGAACTCGAGAGGTCTGCTCAGTGACCTGACTTCAACCCTATTGACCCTATTTACAGGTGGCACGTCATG